AACTGTAGGCATTAATCAGCGATTCTGCCAATGACTGAGAGATAGAAACTAGGTCAGGGGAAGCCCCATGACCCCAAGATTCTTTTCCTTTACGTCATGAACCACGTGACAGAGTCCATATGGTGGCACCATTACGACTGGACAATCACTCTTCTTTTTTCTCTGCCTCGCGGAGATGAAGATTAGCGGCTCTGCCTAGCCTGCCGATTCCTGTCCGAGTTTCACGCTTGAGTTTTTATCGCCTGCGGTAACTGACATTGTACATGTAGTTGGTAAGTGTTCCTTGTTTTTTTTACCCTTGTGTCGTTTTCCCTTTTTGTGTGTTTTATTTGTCACAACAAAGCAATAAAACATGGCGATGTAACTTGATCACTTGTTGGTTTCGTTAAGTCACCTATTCCAACTGTATTTCGCTTCCCTCATGCATGTCGTGTTCATTTTATGCTTTATCTATATGTTTAAAATGATTAGGGGTTAATGACAGCACCAGAGGCTCGCCGCCGGTTTTGTCTCTTTGCGACTGTGCAGTGGTTATAATCAGAATCTACCAGCCTAGAACCCGCATCCGAAATGCTATTTTTGGCGTTGACTATGTGAGGGGTTCGGGGTTTTTTGCCTTGAAGGCGTTTGTTTTTTACCAGAGTTCTGAGGTCTGGATGTTTTTTCCAGAGCCATACAAAATTGCTGAAACTGACCGCGTCACTCGTATTTTAACAGTAGGTTAGTAGTAGGTAGTAGGTTTTAAGTGAGTTGCGTGTTGGCATGAGTGGAAAGTCCTCACGCTCGGCTACCAGTACTTTGTGTACTGGGACGTCGAGTAAGAGGCCCAACGGTGGAGGTACCGATATTTTTCGGTCTCCCAGTGCTGATCGGAGGGCATCCTCACAGTCTGTTTTTTTCAGGCAGTGGTTTACCCGATTTTACCGATAATGACGAGGCTGTGCCCCTGGAGGTCTTTCCTTCAATGTGGACTTAGTGACTACTTCAGGCCTTGGGGAAGCTCACCCCATGGGACAAGAGAGCACCCACCCCTCGCAACTGTCGAACCCATGGCCACATATCCCTTTCGCACACAGATTGCACCAGTATAGTCCGGTTTCGAGGCAGCGGGTTCCAGATCCCTGTACTTTTCCAGGTGGTGACACACAGTTACAGGAAACCGCTGAAACCTCCATCTCCCCCGTTAGTGTCTCCCCCATTGGCGGCACTGTCAGGGGACTCTCGCAAGGTGGAAGCAATCAGACAGAAAGCAGACAGTTTGCTGGAAAAGGGCGCCATATAATACACAAGGTAGTTCAGCCGGCATTAAGTCTAGGCTTCTACTCAAATGTGTTCGTAGTACCAAATCTACAGGTGATAAACGTTGGCATTAAATACAGAGTGATTATTGTGAATTTACTATTTTTTAATTTTCAGTCTAGCTAGAAAAGCTGGAACAATCAAAGATTGATATACAATCCCAGTGTTCTCCACGTGGAGTTTAAGAGGGAGGCAGCGCAGCTCTTTAATTTATTTGCGCCCCTCCTCAATTTGTAGCGCACCTCTATTTATCTTCAGCGCCCTCCTTTGTTTTCGGCGAACAGGTGTTTCACGAGTGCCGGAAAATGTCCCGACGACGTTATTGAGACCTCTTAATAATTGACTAGCGATAAAACAATTAAAGAACTAAGAGACAGATAGTGGCATAGGTAACTAGGACAATGGATAGGATGTCTAGGGGAAAAACTGGCTGAATAAATAAACAAAAAACAATGGCTAGATGCGTGAAGTGATTGTCACAAGCATTGCGTTAATCACGTACGCAATGAGATCAAAATATCAACATCAAGTTATAACAAATTTATATTTCAAGTAGTAATCATCAAATTTCAATCAAACTTGGTACATTGATGCTCTAGGACAATGCACAGACCTGACTAGTTTTGGGTTAAAATCTGTTCATACTAATTTCATAATTTTTGAGTCCTAGTTATGTTTCAATGAAACTTGGCACATAGATGGTTTGTGACATTGCACAGACTTCATTAGTTTTATATTCACATCTTTTTACATATTAATTACTTGATTTGCATAATTAGTCAGTTTTCAACTTTTCCATCACTAACTGTTTCCTTGATTGTTTTTGGTGTATGTCCACCTTTAGTAACTCAAATTTTAATTAACAATTAACCAAATTTCAAGATACAGGCAACATAGATACGTTGTTTTGTTCAACATTATATGTTTCATTTAACTCAAAGTTCAGTTAAACTGTTAATTAAAATTTGAGTCACTAAATTTTAATGTTAAACAAAACTGTACTGTACTGTGCCTGTATCTCAAAGTTTGGTCATTTGTTTATTAAAGTATATTACAGAGATAGTTAATTACAAAGTTGTCTACCTTTATCATTATGATTATTATTTATACATGAACAGTTGCACTTATGATGAAATTTGACCACATAACTTAATTGATGTGTCACTTTGCAAGATGCATGCAATTGGGACCTTAGTGGATTACCTACAAGGCCAATGTATTATGATACATGTACATGTGGTCAAACTCTGTTCTTTTTCATTGTGTGGAAACCCCGGAAAACACTAAACCATTTGAAAAACACTAACCCTAACCCTAACCCTAAACCTAAACCTAACCCTAACCCTAACCCTAAATTTTTTAAAAATTCCTCGGAAAACAGCACATAACTAAATGTATTTAACCCAGATTTAATACATATAATAAACTTAATAGTTTAGATTACATTGAGGGCGCCCTTGTGAAATCAGCTGCCGTCGTGGGTTCTGTTTCATGTTTTCGCTTTCTTTTAATCAAATATTCACTGGACGATTATGGTACACCCATAATACACCCTTTACCTCGGGTTTAGTGTTTTTATTGTCAGGTTTAGTGTTTTTCGACAGGTTTAGTGTTTTTCGACAGGTTTAGTGTTTTCCGGGGTTTCCACTCAACGGTTCTTTTTTAATATTCCCCATGTCTGTAAATTTATAGAGTAACTGGAAAACAAACATTGATTGCTGCAATTATTTTTCCAGGTCAGAGAAGACATACAGGTAATTTTCAGCCAGCTAGTACATTACCATTGACTGCAGATCAGGTAAATATTTTATACTCGCATCACATTAATGGACACCAAATCAACAATATTGTTAGCTAATTTGAGAAGCAGCATACAATTTACATACAGATTTTGGATTACACCGTTCTCAAGAAGAGAAGCACTACACTGTGGGGGGGGGGTACTTGTGTTTGTGTTTTTATAACAAGTTTGGTATGAAAAATGATTTATGTGCCATACTTCCCTGTAATATTATAATATTCATGTTGATATGAAAATGGTGGCTGAAACTTTCTAGAAATGAAATTGAACCTGAACTTCACTGATTGCGGCATATTACACAGCATAACTTGGTGATTTTGTTTAGAAAACGAGTAAAATACTTGCCGTCGCTAACACTGCTTTTGGAGGCAGCCATGTTGTGTACGCCCTCAACATCAAAATATGTTCAAAGCTTGAGTTCTCGATGTCAAAACTAGCGGATTTCATTCCTGCAGCTAAGCTTTTCCTGACCAAGCTATGCTGCACGGTGTCAAAGCTGTGATTTTCATTAAAAAGCTACACTTTCATTGGTACCCCTGATAATGTGGTACAAAATTTTGGGATACAGAAAAATGAGAACTTCATTGCCTACATGATCACCCCTGTCTGCTAACAACTCTCAATGTTGTGAAAATTATCTAGCCATCCATGACTGCAATCAAAGTCAATAGAATCAGGTTATTGTATTTATGAAACACATTTATAAGAACAGATTTGTTCACTTTTATTGTACAAACATCTCCAGTAGTCATTTTTGCTGCAATGTGTCATCTGAACTTCCATTCGTTGATTGTATTCACATACCTATTAATTTTTAGGTAGATTGTGCTGAAGAACAAGGAACTATCGGGGATATGCATATCAATCACTTGAAATTGAAGATGAAACATAAACTGTACAATGAACTTAATCTTGAGATTCCTGGCAGTGGTATGTATCCATATGTCTGAATTGCATTTCGCTTCTGCACTGCATTGTATTTCGTCCTTGTAATAAATATCTAGGCATTATTTTCATGACCCAAGTTTTTTGAATGATTGAGAACCAACAATTCATGTGTAGTTGCTTCAATAGAAGCCATTGTACCATTTTAATACAAGGTTTCATACAACATTGTATAAATGTCCTAAAAATACTTTTTCTACATATGTACTATATGTGGTCTCATTTTGCTCTCTGTGCATATAAATTAATTCTTGTTTCGTTTGATGTAATTCAAGGTTGTGGCTACCAACACCTAGCAGAGCATCTAGGAATGCCTCCTGACGAAATCATGTATTTAACTCAAAATAATAATCCAGCTCGTGCTGTACTAGAGTGGTGGAGTAAGAGCAAAGAGACAACCATTTCAAACTTGCATAAATATTTGATAAAGATTGGTTATACAATGTTGGCAAAGGAGTTAGCTGATTATTATAATCTTGAATGAAGACCAAATAATTCACCCAAACTGTACAGAATTATGCTAATGTGGTTGATTTTAATTTGTGTGTGTGTACTTGGACTGCTATATGTTGCAAGGACAAAAATACAGATATATACAAACTTCCGAGAACATGCACACCCTCCGATAACCTTTTTCATAGTCCTCGGGAAAACATAATTTATATTATCAGATATTCAACTTTTATTTACCGGTATTTAAACTTAATACTTATTATAAGTGTATCTGTGTGTATGTGTGTCCGTCTCTTACACTGATATCTCAAGGACCATACATCTGTGTTTGATGAAACTTGGTGCATAGATGCTCTTGGCCAATGTGCAGATTTGATTATGTTTTGGTAAAAATCCATGCATATTATTTACCTAATTTGCATGATAATTAGCTATTTTTTAGCTGTTCCATGACTGTTCCTCTGATATCTAAAGAACCACTCAATGAATTTTGATGAAACTTGGCACATAGATGTTCTGAACTAATGCGCAGATTTGATTATCGGCTTTTTTACTGATATCTTAAGTACTAATCATCACATTCCAATAAAACTTTGTACATGGATGTCATAGGACACTACACAGACCTGATAGTTTTTAGGGTAATACGAGTACATATTAATTACCTAATTTGTATAATTAATTAATTTTCAGCTTTTGATATTTCAAGTACTAATCATCACATTTCAATGAAACTTGGTTACAAAGATACTCTAGCAGTATGCAGAGATCGATTGTTTTTTTTTGGTAAATATGTGTGTATATGAATCACCTAATTTGCATAATTACATGTAGTTAATTTTCAGCTTTTCCACTGACATCAACTGCTAAGAGTCACATTTCAATTAAACTTGATACATAGATCCTGGATATGCAGAGACCTGATGAGTTTTTTGAGTAAATATTTGTGCATATTAATCACCTAATTTGCATAATTAGTTATTTTTTAGCTTTTCGCCTGATATCTCAAGTACTACCGGATTCTGCCGTAAATTCGCCCATTCAAAAAATCGCCCTGTGCGGTTTCACACCTTGTGGGCCCTTATTTGGGGTTCAAAATTTCAAAAAATGATCATCGGCTTATATTTTCTTTAACAAACCACCTACGCCGATTTTCAACTCCAGCAGTTGGACTACCCAAAACAAAAGAAACTATTTCAGAAGCTAATCTAAAATTTTATACATTATTTTTCTTGCTGGATTAAAAAGTAGACTGTGGATCTTTCTCCAAAAAGTCACATTAATGAACCTTGTGCACCAAATACAATTATTTTGTTTCAATTTATTAGTAACGAAAATATATTCTTAAAAAAGTCTCAAATAAAAACGAACACAACTGCATTGCTTAGTAGTAAATGATAGTGGTAGCACAATTCGGTCATGCTGCGTTTTACAATTGTTGATTATTACCTAGTAATGATTATAATAACGTAAAAAAATAAATTTGTTGGATTGTTATGAAATGCAAATAAATTTATTAAACAACTTATTTCATCGTAAGTGAATGATTCCAATTGCATTTTCAGTGCTCGATGCTGTAGAAATGAATATCCGCCATGTTTTGACCTGGGATGGTGTTCTTTGACCTGACGGGTCAAATCGCTAATTAACCAATGAAAATGATGGATGATGCCAACGTGTTCAAATTACCATAGCTCATTTAAATGTGTTATTGAACGCAGCACTGAAGAGATTTGCCGATGTTGTTGTACGATCTTTTGGCTTGGATTTGTGGCATGATTTGTTTTTAAATAAAAAAATTAGTTGTTTTCAAAAGATAAACTGAGCATTTGAAGAATAATTTAACATTGTTTACAGCGATAACAGCTCATTGTCAAAACGAAGCTTACCCATTCACGCTAGTCGCAATAAAAAATCAATACTCTTGAATAGGCGTCAATGACTATGGTAAAATTCTTAGGCATCAGAAAAGATTAAAATAACACCTTAAAACACTGCCGAATAATCGCCCTTTACGACAAAATCATGTAATAATCACATTTCAATGAAACTTGCGACATATATCTTCTAGAACTAAACAGAGACCTGATTAGTTTGGGGGCATTACAAGAACAACATGCTAATAACCTAGCCACAAAAAACAGAGTTGCTGAGGCAGTAGTAGCGTTCACGCACCCAGTTCCTTAGCACGGGCTAAGAGGTCAAATACCTTAGTCCGTGCTAAGAAAACGTACGTGAACGCTTAGCACGGGCTAAGAAATGCTAAGTAAGGATTAAATCTGATCTGTTTTTAATACCCGGTCCAAACCATTAGCATGGGCAAACGAAGTGTGCGTGAACGCTTAGCTCGGGCTAATCACCAAAAACGCCACTGTATTCAATGTTCATTTGGGCGATTTACTATCATATTCATAACTATTGATTTCGGCATGCCATTCCCGACATGAGAATCAACGCGAGCACATCTACGGACATTGTTCTTGAGAAAAAATAAACTAACGATGAGACCCTATGTTACTTCCTGTTATTCTGCAATCTGCACTTGAACTTGGTATTGTTTTATAACTGTGGAACTAACATGTACACCTTCATATCTACTAGTACTATACTGAGCAATCATAGTTAAAATTACGGAAGATTTTGTATATTTTTAATAAGTTTGGGAGTTCCTTAGCACGTACTAAGCACTGTTCCTTCCCGTGCGTGGACGCAATAAGGTCTATCCGATATGCAAACATACAAGATAAGCTTAAATCTTAGCCCGTACTTCGTGTAGCGTGAACACTACTAGTTACTCGGGTGCGATAAAATGTCAACGTCATGTGGAGTTCGTTTACTTTTTTTTGATTTGGGTTGTAAAAAGTTAGATTAGAAGGCAATGCCTAAGACAAAGTACTCATAAATACTTTCTTACGTGTGAAACTATTTTTTTGTTTTTCACGATGTATATATATACGATATATACTCTATAATTATGACAATAAACATATACTGTTGAAAATGTTATTTAGTTTAGAGCTCCATGGAGTTGTCTTTAACGTCATATTTTAAAATGAGTATTCAATCTGGAACGACCTCTTCACTTCGCTCTTACGTGTAGGGATATGCAAATGTGACCTTTATGCAGTCTTAGTCTTATAAAAACAACTGGTGTCCAGTTGAATTTTCAGTTACGGCATTTTGTCAAACTTATAGAAGCGTACATAATTTGTTAATTTTTCCCGTAATTGTATCAGTATGGCCACTTTCACATATGAACAGGGAGACATCATCGAGGCAGTTGATGGAGCGAATCGATGGGCGGTTGCCAAAGTACGACAAATCCACGAAGACAGTAACACAAAAGTGACTGTTCCAGGGTGGTCAAAACGTTATGATGTGTCTCTCCCGTCTGATATTGTGTGCCAGAAAACTCCTGTAACTGAGAGAAAGTGAAATACTTATTTCCGTTTATATTGTTCTATTTTAAATGATCATGAAAAATGTGTATGATTTCTGTACGATCGTGATATAGTAAAACAAACGCACACTCCTGACTCCACGTGATTTTCTAAACTGACAGGTCAATCGATGTCTAAAAGTACCGTAGTTCCAGTCAGTACACATTTGTTTACACATTGTTGTGTGGCATAAGATAACAATCTTTATAACTAATTACATAAGACTAATGTCCTGATCATAAACTGATAACCAAGTGAGGAAGTGGGGTAAATTTGTTTAATGGGTTGTTCCCGTAATGGTAAATAATTTTGCTTATTAATTACCTAATTTGCATAATCAGTTAATTTTTTGCTGTTCCATGATTGTCCTACTGATATCTGTAGAACAACTCATTGATTTTGATGAAACTTGGTACATAGATGCTCTGAACTAATGTGCAGATTTAGATTCTCTCAGCACACGGTAGTTCTTTCTAAGCTTTCTTTGATTTTTTATTCTGCTCAGCAATCACTCTTTTAACTAGAAAGTGGCAGTTAGGTAGCTTAATAATGTTATGCATGATATACTGGTTATCAAGTATCCTTTTTTGGGATGCCTGGCAGTGGGTGAGAGTGTGTCTACTCGATTTAAGGTAGCAGGCAGCAGGAATTTTTATTTCAATTATTCAAATTCTTACAGTGCAATGTTAATTAATAAAAATATTCCATATAATGAATATTTAATTTACTGAAAATTTTGAAATTTTTGGTAAGATAGTTTGATGTTTGATGTTTATTTACAATACTGTGTTGTAATTTTATTTTTTTCACATGCTACTCTGTTGCATCAGTATATAAAGCAAAGGAAATTCAATACCTGAATGGTATTTTTAATAAATTATTAATCTTGAACTAAGAATTTTAATGTTCTTTTCTGAGAAAGAATTAGGAATGTATACCAGGATAAGTGGCAAAAAGATGTACAAACAAAGTTCTACAAAGAAATTAAGAATGATAAATATGTTTTTGAAAAATATTCATATGATTGTAAAAAGATTGGAAAGCATATACCTATTTCATTGTCAAAATAGCAATATCAAAGAATGTGGACAGAAATTTCTTTCAGCTCTCTTTATTTATGAGCCACTTTTTCAAAATTTAAGTATTGATGATCTATTCATTGAAATTCTCTCTAGTTGGGACAAGTTTATCTGTTCCAATTTTGCTATGTTTGTTTTTTTGTATTTTAGACCTGTTTTAGTCTTGTAGTGATACCTTTAAATTTGCTTTTTTGGACATTACCTTGTATTTGTTTGTGTACGTTGCGATTAAAATATCATATCCATGTCGTGTCTCAGACTATTGATATTTAATTTGTATGTAATGCAAAAGAATGCAGTATGTTTCATATCACATTCAAAACTAATTTTATCTGTAAATAATAGGAAGAAACACAGTTCGGGACATTGAGTGTCACTGTTGTCTCTCCTGACTTTTTTAGATCAAATACAAGATATCAATCATTTTAATGTTAAAAAATCATCTTGTGGATCCATACTTCTGACATGTTTATGTTCCAACTATATTAATTACTATAAACAAAATTATATATCTTAAATTTGATAACTAACTGGGACTGTGCCATGCATGGCTTGTATTCATTTTGATGTTGTATATTAAACAGAATAAACATTTTATACTGATCCATGTTCTTGTAGTTTACAGCGTCAGTAATTTACCTTGTGTAAAGTATGTGCACTTGTGAAATAATATTG